CGGGGGGGGGTTGGCATTATATTCTATACAGGGTGGGAACCCTGAGGTTAAACACACGAAAAGATGGATACTTTTATATGCTTTCTCTTTTGATTTTGCTCTTAACATGTCTTTTAGATGGTACACATCTGTGAAGACTTTTTTTTTTTCTTTTTTACTACAGATCTTTTCTTGGGATATTTGTTTCTTTGAATCTCACGGCAGTTCAATTGTTTCTCGGTATTCCGTAAATGACTTAAGAAATAACCTAAGTAAAGATTTTAGCAAAGGTGATTAAACTTGGATTTTTGACATACGTCCCATATGGGTATCATTCACAGGATTTTCGTATTAAAAATGTTACCACGATCTAGGTTTCGAGTCAGCTTTGCCAGGTCTATATTTTCCATGCATTTGAACTTGAGAATAATACCGACATGTGTTTGTAGCAAGAAAAAGAGAGAGTTAATCATGATCTGTAATGTGAATTTGGAAGAATAAAGACACGTTTTTGTTCTTCTTTCCTTGTTTCCAGATTTAGGAACTTCTCATTCCGGTTTTCTTGTGGACAATAAGTTTATTTTATTGCAATTGCCATTTAAGTACACATAGTAACTTGTTGTAATAAATATCCCAGTGGACATACTTATTATGAAGTCATAAATCAGAAAAAATTTCTGAAATCTGCAAATACTGCATATTTAGATGTTTCATAAACTAAACATATGTATTCCTCTGTTTTAAATTAGATATTTATGATTATCAATGAAGTGGCCTATTTGAAAAAAATTTCATAAAAATTCATAATTGCATAGGTTTGTATTAGAATAGCTTCCCAAAGTATATTCCAAAGAGTGTTGATCCCTTGAGATAAGGCTTTAAAAGGGAGTTCTGTGGTCACTGCTGGGTATCATATTCTCCTCTGGAACATTTAGGTGCACATTCGCATTTTAAAGGTGCTGAGAAGTCCTGCAGTAAATAAACCTTTTAGCCCAAGGTCTCTCACATTTATTTGAGCATTTGAAAGTATCAAGTAATTCCTATTCCCAATTTTTACTTTAGGGTATTCTGCTACAATATTTTTGCTTTTTTACACTCTAAAATTAAATAATATTTTTGCTTTTTTACACACTTTTTACACTCTATAAAGTGTGCCAAGCTATAGTCTGGTAAATTCACTTGTTAGGCCAAAAGAAGTAACTATTTAAATGAAAGATAAAATTTTATAACAGTTTTTTATTAGCTAACATATACTGATTGCTCTCTGTGTTATAAATGCATCACTAAGTACTTTTTTTATGTTATCTCGTTAAGTTTTCACAACCAACAATCCCATTAGTTGAGTATTTCTCCTATGTTATAGATGAGGAGATTGAGACTGAGAGATATCAAATAAATTTCCCCAAATCACACAGATAATGGACGACGAAACCAAGATTCGAACCAGGACCTCACACAAGGTCCATGTTCTGTCTGGTCTGCAAAATTGGGAAAAGTATTTGGATAAAAACTAATGAATAACAGACAAGATGAGATTTTTAAACGAAGCCATGAAAGACAGAATGGGATTTCTCAGCTGAGAAATTGGGACATTTTCCATTAGAATCCTTTTGTCCAGAAACTAATATATCCTTTTGCTGGTTATCAAGAAAAATCCAATCACCTAAGTTGGCATGAAGAAGAGGTCTACCTAACACTAAAGAGGAACAGATTGACATGGGAACTGTGGCATTTGCATAAAATTTTATAAAAATGACCAGGCACTCATTCCTTTTTCAGTATTACAAGTGTTCAATCTAAACCAGAGATCATCCAAGATCATTAATAACAAATAATAATCTTGGAGCAAAACTGGCCACTGGTGTCATTCAAAGTGGAGGGTAAAAATGCAGTGTGGTCTTGACCATGGATGTGTTTATGTGAAATGATGTCTGCCCATTTTACCAGCAAGTAATTTTTGGAAGTCAAGGAGATAAATTGTTTGTATTCATTAATCTGTGAGGTCTCTAGTGGAAGAAACCTAATAGCTTTCTTATCTCACCCTTTAATGCCCTTAAACACATCAAATTTTATTGCATTCTGTTTTCTTTGAAAACACTTTGATTTATTTACTTCTTCATCTTGTACTTAAAAAAAAAATACTCTCAGTGGATCGTAGTAAAATTCCAAATATAAAAGCAGCCCTAAATATTAAAAAGCATCATAAATCACCAGAAACAGTTAAGTCCCACCCAATATTTAAAAAAAAAAAAAGTTTTCGAGTGGCATTTTATTTTAATTTAACAAAACATTCAAGGTAGTATTCAGAAGTATTACTCCTGATTTGTAAGTAGTAATGTCATTTTCATATAATAGCTATAGTCATATAAAATAGGTGCCAATAGGATTTATAAAAACTTGGAAAATCTCTCAAGCAGGAAGACGAGTAAGTGGTGGTTCAGCAAAGTTCCTTTAGAATCAACGCCCAGATATTTGGTGTTTGGTTCTAGCTGAGAACACATGTGTCTCTTACAATATGAAATTGTCATATCTTTATTGTATCTTTGTCCCAGGCTGAATTGTTCTGTAATGAGGACTGACATTAGCCAGGCTTCATCCCAATACAGTAAAATCCCCACCACTGGAACTGTTTTAGTGCATCCCTTCTGTATGCCTGGTTCCAAGCTAGAGTCTGACAATATCAAGATGAAAATATACAACGCCCATTCAATAAGAAACTCAACATTAACACTATCGGAGGTTGCAAAGAAGGAGATGGGGGAATAAAGAGAAAATTTCTGCCTGACTGGGCCTGTGGGATCGGATAGTATGTTGCAGGAGGATCTCTCGTCCTGAGCTTTGAAGCATGGAGTAGAACGTCTTCAAGTAGAAGAAAGCAGAAAAGTTTTAAGGTTTTCAAAGAAGGGGGGAGTGTATGTGCAAAGTCCCAGGGGTCTGACCAAAAATGGCACATTTGATATCATAAAAGAATTCATCATGGCTGGGGCATAAGGATGCATAGGCTTAATAGATACACATGGGTTTAAATCCCAGCTTTGCTGCTCATCAGTTGTGATACCTTGGACGAGTCACATTGAAATGGGAGAATCACCACATTTAGGAAAGTTTGGAGCAGTGCACTGACATATATAAAGCCAATAGGGCAGTGCCTGGTTTGTAACGCATTCAGTAAGGGCTAGGGAAATGATGACGATTTATGATTAGAATGATGATTTATTATTCATATTACTACTGGTTCATGTTAACACGAGTTTTTAATCAATGATCTGAGTCTCGGGGTGTAGTGGCCTTGAGTGCAGGTTCCAGAGTCAGCTTGCAAGAATTTCAATTCCAACTCTACAGCTCATTTGCTGTGCACCTGGAGGAAGGCACTTGATCTCCCTAATCCTCAGAGTACTGCTCAGAGTGTAAAATGTCAACAATCAGAGTACCCATCTCATGGGGTGGTTGTCATGATTATGTGAGACGAGGCATGTAAGGCTTTAGCACAGTACATAGGAGAGTAAGTGATAGAATTATTGGCTCTTATTTTTACTTCCTTATTGGTATTATCATTGGACTAATTTTCCCCAAAGTTTTAAAAACCTGTCCTCAGATTTAAAAAATAAGAGCAGGTTTAAAACTTTGGGAAATCAAGAAAGGTAGAAAAACAATCCCTATGCTCATAACCTTAATATTATTACCATAGCATAGTATTCTGGTATATATATTTTTTTTACAATACACCCTCACTCCCGTACAGTCATTTTTCCACCGACAAACTTTTAAAACAATACCTAAAACACACTGCATGTACAACTTTGTAACCTTTTTCTTTATCGGTCATCGTTCCATTAGAAGCATTTTCCACGTATTTGCATAGGCGTCCCACCCAATGACCCAATTCGCAGTCAGTTTCAATGACGCTGTAAATGTGCATCAAACACAAGCATTACAGTTTTCCAAATCAATTGCCTCTTGTATATTTAGGTTGTTTTTAATTTAGCACATGGGAAGGTGGCAGGAGGAGAATTCGTACGGGACTAAATGAAGAGAATGAACCACAATGTAGAGGGACTTGAATGTCTGGCCTCTGCAGTCTTAGTTCCGTGACTTCCTCTAGGCAACCCCCGGGGTGGAAGCAGGGAAAAGGGCAGCAATACGAGATAGGGATTTGCAGGGATTTTTTTATTTTTTTGAGAGAGAGAGAGGGCACAAGTGAGCGAGGGGCAGAGAAAGGGAATCCCACCAGGGGAAGAGAGAGAGAGAGAGAAGTGCAGCGATGATTTAAAAAGATTTTTATGTTGGGGCGCCTGGGTGGCACAGTCGGTTAGGCGTCCGACTTCAGCCAGGTCACGATCTCGCGGTCCGTGAGTTCGAGCCCCGCGTCGGGCTCTGGGCTGATGGCTCAGAGCCTGGAGCCTGTTTCCGATTCTGTGTCTCCCTCTCTCTCTGCCCCTCCCCCGTTCATGCTCTGTCTCTCTCTATCCCAAAAATAAATAAACGTTGGGAAAAAAAAAAAAAGATTTTTATGCTGTGTATATGGTCTCTCTCTGTAATAACCTTAGTGTCTTGTGATTTTTTTCTTTTAGTACTCTCTGGGCCTCCGATTTGCAGTTCCACGTCTTGAGAAAACAAACATGAGCATTAACTTCGATCTCCAAATCAGAAGGTTAGATCTTTAAATGCCTAAAATCATGGTCAGCATCGACTATTAGAGAGATCCATAGTGAGATGAATGGCCACGAATCAAACTCCTTAACCTGAAATTAGAACCCAGACTTTTCACAGATCATTTTTTGTGTCTGTTTTTTTTCAGTGTTGTAAGTTTTTGTTTGTTTTTGGTTTTTGCGTGTTTGCTTTTGAAAAGAGATCCATTCTGTAAGCCAAGTTATTTTAGTAAAATTTTGTCCTGGGTACCCTCGCACCCTGGTTTACCTCCATTTTTCCTGATTCTGATTTACATCCTTTCTCCCACCCTCACCAACACCCCAACAATATCTCTGCCAGGCTCTGAGCTGGGGATCATTAAATCCCTGAGAATAAAATCTCTGCAAGAAAGCATAGATTATGCGTTTGCAAACTTGAAATCTAACTTGTCAGGAATGAAAGGGTCTCTGACAGTTTCACTGTGAGCCCCATGGCAGGAAGCAGGTGAGATTCAGAGGACAGAGCCTTTTCTGGTAACTGTCAGACAAAGCATATAGGTAGCTGCCCCTTTTTTCTAAGACTGACACTTTTCAGAGACTCAAGTGTGACTTATCTTTCCACTGTCTATTCTGTTTGTTCCTTCATGGCCAAAAACAATATTTAATGAGTGGAAAGACTTGGAGGTAGCAGTGTGCATAAAAGCCCAAGTGTGGACTTAAACCCATTAGCCAGTGATGGGATAAATGTAATGACTCCAGGCCACTATTAAAAGAAAAGGAAAGTGAATGGAATACAATATATCACAGTCTTCTTCGTGAAATGATCCAATTAGAGAAATGTAAATGTGCACAGTAAGACACCCTGTGAAATACAATAATTTTCTGTGGTCTGCGATTTTAAAAGTTTGAACAACATTAAAAAAAAAAAAGTTTAAACAGCATTGATGTCGACAGCACATACTCAGCTGGGTGAACCCTTGTTCTATAACACAACTCTGAAGTCAGTATCTACAATTTGGTCCTCAAATACTAGTGTGCAATATGGATAAATCCCTACACTTATCTTCTATCCTGTAAGAAGTGATTAGAGAGCGATGATTTTGTGCAATGGATTACTTTTTAATAGCTACTTGGATTAAACGTTTCTATTTTTTTTTTTTTTTTAATATATAAACTTGGGGCACCTGGGTGGCTCAGTCGGTTCAGCGTCCGACTTTGGCTTAGGTCATGGTCTCATCGTTTGTGGGTTCCAACCCCATGTTGGGCTTAGAGCCTGGAGCCTGTTTTGGATTCTGTGTCCCCCTCTCCCTCTCTGCCCCATCCCCGCTCATGCTTTGTCTCTCAAAAATAAATAAAACGTTAAAAAAATTAAAAATAGTAATAAAATAAAATAAAATATATAAACTGTATAAGAACATAGCAGATTTTTAAACTCTGCAACCTGCGGGACGCCTGGGTGGCTCAGTCGGTTAAGTGTCCAACTTCGGCTCAGGTCATGATCTCATGGTTCGTGAGTTGGAGCCCCGTGTTGGGCTCTGTGCTAACAGAATAGAGCCTGGAGCCTGCTTCAGATTCTGTGTCTCCCTCTCTCTCTGCTCCTTGTCTGCTCACGCTCTGTCTCTGTCTCTCAAAAATAAACATTAAAAAGAAATCTGCAACCTGTATCACAAACCACATCCCCTAAATTTTGTGATAGATTTCTAAGAAGGAAGGTTTTTCTCACCTACCTTATGTCCTTTCCTGACCTTAATTAAGTCTTTTTAAAAATTTAACTTAATATTTTCTGCTGATTCTTAAGAGATTTAAAAAAATTTTACCCATATTAGCGATGAGACACTGACACAATGATTTCTGTAATACCATTTTACCAAAAGCATATTAAATCACTTCTTTATGTCTACATAAATGTATATTTTCCAAAAGGTTTAGGTAGTCCTAAATATTTTTATTTGGGGAATCTTTTGCTTATATTTTTAGCTTTTTCAGAAAAAAAAAAGTAAAGGCACCCTATACTGAGAACCATCACTCCAGATAGCAGCCTAAAGTTTCTATTTCTTACCATCACTGTCTGTGATGTCAGTCCCACAAATGGTATGAAGATACATCCTCACAAAATAGAAATCATTTATTTAGAAATAAAATCTGTTACAAAGATGCAAAGCAAATTCCTTCACACATCCTTCTTACTTTTGATTGCAGCTACAGATAACAGAATAAATGAAACTAGTAGTTCACTCTGGGGACAAAGGACAACAACTGATATTCCAAATGCCTTCCCCAGACCCATCCTGGAGATCATCCTCCAACCAGTGAATTTAGCAACAAAGTGCTAAATTTGATGGAAGATAGAAACGGTCACACTTCTAACATCTTGCTTCGTCTAAAAGAGTGGACCATGATGATATTCCATCCTTACGTACTATAGAAACTCATGACTATTTTAACATTATTCTGAAAAAAACATAAAAATGTGGAAATGAAGGAAGAACCAGAGAGGCTACAGGAACATACATAAAGCATCAAATTCCAAAAACAGACATTTCCAAGATAAAAATGTTTGAGAATACTTAACACTCAAATAGTGAAGTGTTCACGAGCGAGCATTTATCTCCATGCCTCGTTGGCAGACTCCAAGGGCATAAATAAATATTTATGGATGGTGTGCGTTCAATTTAGATGTGTTAAAACCAAAAGTAAATTAAACCAAATATTCTGAAGTCTAAGTTCTTAAGCTTTTGACCATATTGATCGCCATTGCCCACTTTTAATGCCCCTTTCCACAAACAGAACCCAAAGAGAAACGGGCTTTATGTATTAACCAACTTAAAATATTTCATGTTACCAAATGTTTTCATTAAATGGTCTCTTCATGCCGCAGCTCCATGTGACATGTAAACATTCTCCTCCCTGTGTAGAGCGGGTCTCAGATAGCAGTTCCCACATACAAACAGGTCTTTTGTGATATCAGTGAAACTGCTTCCTCAGCAGCGGTGAAATGAACATCGTACTGTGTTTGCTAACATTCCAAAGACCACAGAGAGTACAGAGGGAATGTTAGAAAAGAGGGAACAGTAGAGAAAAGGAAAATAGCATCAGAGTGATAAATGAAAAACGTGTTTATCCTTGGTGCATGACATGGGGCGTAGTTGTGGAGAGGAAATCCATCATTCCCATGCAGAATTAGCACCGACAGTATAAATAGCTCAGCATCCCGGACGGTGATGGATTGCTTGTTTGAATGCAGCAGTGGTGTTAGTGAAGGAGGTTTCCTTCCAGGAAAAGAGGTCAGGGAAGCATCTAAGTTGTATATCAAGCCTGGTGCCTTTCTTACCGGGAGATTCTGTTGACACCACTGGCTGATGGCAGTACCTAGTGTCATGACAAGGCTGGGTGACAGAAGATGATTTTGATTAGCCAACCAGGTTTTGTCTCCACGTCTGCCATTGCTATCATTACATGGTAAAATAGCCTCCGTAAGCTTCATGTTAGACTCCTGTCCAAAGATGATTTCAGGGCTTGACATCTGCTGGCTTTTTTTGTGAGTAAAGACAATTGTGTTATTTAAACCACGTGGAAACAAAACACAATGAAGTTACAGGATCGCTTAAATGAAACGACTTTCTTTTCATCATTTTTACATTCACTGCTGCAAAGCAGTGTGAACTAGAAAACAGAACCAAGTCTGGGTAACGTGTACAACAATGAGACCTAAATTTCCAAACTGAAGAGTTTCCCATAATGTATTCAGAGCCATGCAATGTACAACAAGTAGACTTAATGACTTCTTGCTGGTAATTAAGAATTCTGCCTTAAAAAAAAACCCCAAAAACCTTTTTAGTTAACTGATTTTCCCCAGATGTGATAATAATAAAGTGGCCTGGAAACTGGGGTTCAAACTTTGGTGAACAAGTCCCCCTAGGCTCATCACTAGCTTAGTAGTGATACCCTATTGCAGGAAATGAGCCTGACATTGGCCTGTTTATATCTTTTATGTGTGTTTGTGGTTTAAGTGGCCTTATCAGTATATACAATCAGACAAGACTTTTCAAAAGCATTGTGGGGACGATTCTGTCTCCTCCTCCTCCTTTGAAAGCTGACTTTTACATCTCCTTTCCAGCTCCCACATTTGGGAAGCTTCAAAAGCTAGTCAGAACATACCCCATTACCACTCCTGCAGTGTTAAAGCATTATCCATTGAATCTGTGTGAAAGTCGATGATGAAAAGCGGACGCTTTCTCTTCTTAATGAGACCTGGATATAAACATGACCTGTCAGTGGTGGTGTGGCCACATCTGTTTGCTGAAAGCTGCATAATCCTGGGGATAGGAGGGTGACTTCAGTGAAAGCACAAGACGGTAATAAAGGCAAATGACATCTGCATTCAAAGCTCAGCTACTGGTCAAGCCTCTCATGAGACCGTGTTTCGTTTTCTCTACTGCCCGCTTAACACGGGCATCTTTTTTTAATTTTTAAAATATTTTTATTATTTATTCTGGAGAGAGAGAGAGACAGAGTGCGAATGGGGAAGGAGCAGAGACAGAAGGAGACACAGAATCTGAAGCAGGCTCCAGGCTCTGAGCTGTCAGCACAGGGCCTGACGCGGGGCTCGAACTTGAGAACTGCGAGATCATGACCTGAGCCGGGGGCGTAACCAACTGAGCCACCCAGGTGCCCCAACACATGTATTTTTCAAAAGCTAAATTTCATACGTGATTATATTTGCTTGAGAGAAAAAACAAAAAGCAGACTTAAAAATAATTTTGCCACTGTTCTAAGAAACATCATTAAACATTCACCTTCGATCTTGAGATTCTTGATGCCCTGGAAAGCATCGATGGCCTCTCCTGATTGCGTCAGTCTGAGCTGCCCGACTTCCTGGGGTCTTGCTTCTTCCTGCCATCATCATTGGCTATGCTTCCAGTTCAGTCCCTGCCCCCCACCCTAGTCAGCCAGTGAGCATGCAGTGAATGTGCACTTATTTTAATATTACTTCAGAAATAAACCGTAAGGAAGATAAATTCGCTGCCCAAACAATGTATGGTATGATGCATTCCAGAGCCAAATGCAAACGCTTTTTCCATTATGTGCTGCTCTTGGATTATTCTTGCCAGTTCTCTTCTTTATTAGCATGGAGAATCAGGAGTTCACTGTGCTGTCCTCTCCCATTTGATGGGCAATAAACATGATGCACAGAGAAGTTAAGGAATGTGTCCAAGGCAGAAGGTGGAAAATGAATTCAGCTCACTGCCTTTTTGGTTTAGCCATTGAAACAAAAAAGCATTAGCTTTCCTAGATGTCTGTTGTGTTTTCAGATAAGATGCCGCCTCATGGAAAGTTACATTATTTTTACCCATAGGAAAGCTTAGCATTTCCACTTTCAGATGGTTGTGATTTCGTGGAATGGATACGCCATTGTTTTCTGAATGACTGTATTAGTAATGTTTGTTATTCTTTTTATATATGGAAGGTTTTTTATGATCATATGTTGTAACATGGCTGAGAAAATATATTGAAATCATATTGTCGCTGTGTTTTAGTTCCAACAAGGACAACCCAGACAGCAATTTTGTGAGCCTGCAAATCAACATCACTGCTGTAGCTCAAGTAGAAATAAGAGGGTAAGTAATAATCAAGATATTGTAGTAGTTATACTATAATAATGGCTTCCTGTATGTGAGAGTTATGAAAAACACTAGGAAAAACTATATGGAATTTTCCTAATGCATTAGCAATCACAATTCACTCTGGTTATAAATTTCATGCTTTTCTACCCTTCATTAGCCTTCCATTAAAAACTAGAGTAAACCCTGTATGGTAATTGACTCAAAGGATATCAAAACAAGAGATCACTTTACTCCCCAAACTGACAGTTCAGTCATCAGACTCTAAAAACTAGTGATAAGACGCCAGATAAAATAGACAGACAGGTGATACCCTGAGAGTCTCACTTCTCCAAAAATTATTCTGGAAATATAATGAAAACCTAGCCTCACCATACCACATCTTGAGTTTAACAAATGGCCAGCTCGTAGATGTGAGGGTTGATGGGAATCTCCGTCTTATATCTTTTTCCTTTTGTCCTGTTCCTTGAAAAATGTACCAATAAGCAATCAGTTGAGAGATGAGAGGAAAGTGGTCAAGCAAAAGGCTTAGAAGAACTACCATCTTGGGAAATCCATGCCTGGGGGATGAAAAGACATTAGAAATGGAGGGCATAGAGTTCTTATCTTAGACAAATGTGGACCTCATTGATTTCATTGTAATTCTTATTCCTTCAGGACAATCTAGGACTTGGTGTTCTGGGCCGAACTGTCTTTGGGGCTCCGGCAATCCCAGTTCCCTTATCCTTTTCATAGTCCTGAGTGGTTCCCACTTCTCCATGTTGGCAGCTAGGGCCACTGCATTCAGAGCCCTTGTCTCCAGGATACTGCAGCCTCTGGCTGCCCTCTGTGAGGGTGGGAGAGGTGGGGAGGTGGAGCCCTGCCTGTCCTCCTGGGACCAGTGAGGTGCCACTTAGTGGATTAGAAAAGAATAATACCTAACATGGATTGATCCTTCCATGTGCTGCCCCAACCCATTGGCACCTCTTAATGTGGACCAGTATCCTTGCTGTACAGGTGAGGGAATTTTGGGGTTGAAGGCTACCCAGCTAGGAAGTGGGGAGGTACCATGGAAGTACAGGCAGCCTGCCTCCAGGTGCATATTTATAAATGATCATGCCGTGCAGCCTGTGAGAGAGTTCTTTGAACCTTAGCTACACAAAATCTTGTTTGTTTATGCTTCTGTGATTTTTTTCATTCAAATGAGTGTTTTTGACATTCACCCACTCTAGGGAAGGTGCCTATAGTTGATTCATTTTAATTGCAGTAGGGTTTAACATTGTAAAGCAACACGATACTTGCTCATCCATTCCACTCTTGATGAACACTGGGGCTTTTCTTTTTCCTTTGTTACAGACATTCTTGTGCATACCTCATAGTACACGTGTGGAAGAAGGTGGGAAGGGTACCTGCTTAGAGGTAGAATTTCAGGATCAGACTATGTACACTAACTTTACTAAATAGTACCAAACTTGGGGCGCCTGGGTGGCTCAGTCGGTCGAGCGTCAAAGTTCGGCTCAGGTCATGATCTCGCGGTCTGTGAGTTTGAGCCCCGCGTAGGGCTCTGTGCTGACAGCTCAGAGCCTGGAGCCTGCTTCGGATTCTGTGGCTCCCTCTCTCTCTGCCCCTCCCCCCCCATGATCTGTCTCTCTCTCTGTCAAAAATAAATAAACATTGAAAAAATTTTTTAAAAATAGTACCAAACTTTTTCAAAATAATTATACCAAGTTATCATTCAAAGAACTCTCCACTTTGTTAACTAAACTCACAGAATGGTCGAGTTTTTCATTTTGATGGATCAGAAATACTATCTAACTGAAGGTTCAATTTGCTGCTCCCGGTTCCTAAATGAGACCAAGTAGCTTTTTCATGCATTTGCTGACTCCATTCTTCCCAAATTGGGTAATTTCTGTTCATTTTTAAAGACACATTTCTACTAAGAGACTTTTTTTCATATTCATAGGAACTCTTTTCTATTTTTTTTAATTTTTATTTTTAATATTCATTTATTTTTGAGAGACAGAGAACGTGAGCGGTGGAGTTGCAGAGAGCGAGAAGGGGACAGCAGATCCGAAGCGGGCTCTGTGCCGACAGGCTCCAAGCCCGAAGCAGGCTCTGAGCTGATGCAGGGCTCAGACTCACAAGCTGTGATATTACGACCTGACCTGAAATCAGATGCTTAACCAACTGAGCCACCAGGCGCCCCTCTTTCCTATTCTAGAGTTGAGACACTAATCCTTTATCAGCTACAGAGGTTGCAAATATCTTTTCAGTTTATGGGGTTCATCTTTTTTTTAAGTCAGGTTTATTGAGGTATAAATTATATAAAGTAAAACTCACCCTTTTTTTTTAGATGTTCAGTTTGAAGCGTTAAGATACCACAAGGACGTTCAATGTAAAACAGTTCTGTCACCCCACATAGCTTCTCATGCACCTTTGTAGTTGACCCAGCCCTCACTCCCAGGCTCTGGAAACCTTGATCTATCTTCTGTCACTGTCTTTCCAGAAAAATAATATAAATCTACTCCTACAGAATGTAGCCTTTTGAATCTGGCTTCTTTCACTTAGCATAATGCATTTGAAAAAAACACCCATGTTCATACATGTATCAGTGGTCTGTTTCTTTTTATTGCTGAGAAGTATTCCACTATACAGAAGTCCCATGAAATGTTCATCCATCCACAGGTTGGTGAACATTTGGGTTGTTTCCAAGTTTGGGGCTATAAATAATAAGCCTGCTAGAGGCATTCACATACAGGTCTTTGTTGGGGTATTTGTTTTCACAAATGGAGTGGAGTTGTATGGCAAAGGTATGGTTACCTTTACAAGAAACTGCCAACCTGTGTTTCAAGGTGGCTGTGCCATTTTCATTTGACGTCCCCCCCCCCCGCCCCCGGCAGATGGGAGTTCCAGCTGTGCCGTGGGCTTGTAGGCATGTGCTTGAGGTTTAGTTTTTTTTTGTTCATTTTTATCCATTGTAATAAGTATGTGAGAAGAATCTCATGGAGTTTTAATTAGCATTTTCTAATGACTGGTGATATTGAGCATCTGTTCACAACTCATTTGCCATTAGGGTTCTCTTTGAAGTGCCTTTTCCAATTCTGCCCGGGGTGCCTGGGTGATTCAGTCAGTTGAGCATCTGGCTCTTGATTTTGGCTCAGGTCATGATCTCACAGGCTCTCTGGCAACACGGAGCCTGCTTGGGATTCTCTCTCTCTCTCCCCCGCTCTCTGTCCCTTCCCCCAGTCACGTTCTCTCACTCTCAAAATAAATATAAATTTATAAATAAATAAACATTAAGAAAACCAACCTTATAATTTAAAAAATAATAATTTTTAAAAATGAATAAAATTTTGCCCATTTATTATTGTCTATCTTATTATCAAGCTGTAAAATTTCCTTATATATTCTGGATGCAAAATCATCTATCGGATATGTGTCCTGCAAATATTTTCTTACTGAAATATTTCTTTCAGTTTATGGTTTGGCTTGTTATTTTCTTAACAGTGATGTTCAAAAAGCAAAAATTTTTAGTTGTATGAAATTCGACTTTAAATATTTTATAGTTTGCCCTCTTTTTGTCCTTTGTAAAAAAAAAAAAATCTTTGCTTTCTGCAGAGCCGCAGGATTTTCTATTGTTTTCTTCTACAAGTTTTGCAATTTTACATTTTGGTCTATGATTAAATTATTTTTTAATCTGATCTGAGGTAAGGTCCAAGGCTCACTTTGGTATAAGAATATCCAGTTGCTGCTATGCTATTGGTTGTCAGACCATCCTTCCCCCATTGAATTGCTTGACACCTTTGTCTATCTGTGAAGCTGTTTCCAGACCTCCCATTCTGTTCCATTGATCTACATGTATAATAAGTCTTGAAATGCAAGCAATATATCCTGAGATGTCGCTAAAGTCACTTACAAATTCTAGTAGCTTTATTGTTTGTTGATTTCCTAGAACTTTCTATAACATTCCTATGTCATCTGTGAATACAAAGTTTTATTTTTTATCCTGACTAATCTCATCTGTATGTGCAAAAGTTTAGCCAACTCCAAAGTTTGAGGGAATAGTACCCACAAGAGATTACTCTTACTTCTTTTAAAAAAAATTTTTTTAATGTTTATTTTTGAGAGAGAGAGAGAGAGAGACTAAGCGCAAGTGGGGGAGGGGCAGAGAGGGAGACAGAATCTGAAGCAGGCTCCAGGCTCTGAGCTGTCGGCACAGAGCTCGACGCGGGGCTCGAACCCACGAACTGTGAGATCACGACCTGAGCCGAAGTCGGTGCTCAACCGACTGAGCCACACAGGTGCCCCAAGAGATTACCCTTATGTCTGACACCAATTGCAGATTTGAGTGGTTCCCCAAACCCCCCTCAGGTTTGATAATCCACATAGAAGAACTCACAGAACTCACTGAAAGCTATTATACTCATGGGCTCAGTTCATTACGGGGAAAAGATAAAAATTAAAATTAGCCAAGGGAAGACGTGTGTAAGTTGGAGTCTGGGGACAGTACCACCAGACACAAGGCTTCTGTTGTTATCCTCCATGGAGTCAGCACATGTTAATTTCCTCGTATATAACAGTATATATGGAGTATCCCCAACCCAGGATCCAACTGTGATCCCCAATCACAGTTTTTATTGCCTACGTAGGCATGACCGATTCATTGACCACTTAATTGATCTCAGTCTCCAGGTTGTCTGATATGATGTGATCAAGCTCCCACCCTGAATCACACTGTTGGTCTTTCTGATGTGGGCAACTCTCACTCTAAATCATAGTTAGAATATCCAGTGGGACCCAAGACCCCCAAGAAAACAAAGATACTTCTTCCTCTCAGGCATAAAATTTCTAGAGCTTAGATTTTACCTCTCAGAAGCTGAGGCCAAAGGCCAGACCAGTGTGGGGGAAAGGTTAAGTTGTTTACTATGTAGTTATGCCTTTTATTTCTTTTTCTTCTCATACTGCACAGTCTAGGAGTATCAAGGCAGGATCAAATAGACATGGTGCAAAAAGACATC